AAGAATAGCACAGCAGCAAGAAAGGCACCAGAAGAAAAAGCAGGCTGAACTGTCATCTTCTGTGGAGACTGTAAAGGTAACCGTAAGTGTAATATGAATGCCATGAGACTTCTTTTTTTCACTTGCTGTTCTTACTCTGAGTGACTTTCTTTTTTTCACTTCATGAAATAAATAAATAAATAAATAAACTTGTCTGAGGTGTAGCAAAAAAAAAATTGTTGTACTTACCTGCAATGTTACACTCTTGTCTCTACTCTATCATCAGGAGCCAGTGTCCTTCCGATCGGGGGAGTTTGTCGCTGTTTGGTACAGTGACCTCCACGACAGACCCACTTGGTACCCAGGGTCTGTCGTGGAAGATGGTGTCCAAACAGCGACACTTACCTTCTTCCACCCAAGTTGCAGGTATTTATCTACTCTCTATCATTTAAAAAAATTTGTACCTTTAATTTTCTTGATGTATCATACACAATTCAGTCACATGCATGTGTCAGTCTGATTCTTTTTTCGCAGTCGCAGTGATAAGAAACAAATATCAATACAAATCAGTGTAATGATGGTTTAAATGTACTACTCCTAAAATTTTATAAGTTTTAAGTTTATATATTTGAAGTTTCTTTTAATAAAAGAATTGGCTTTTCAGGAGGAATGTTCCAACTGCCAGCTGTTGCTGATATCAGAGGGGTAGAAAAGAGGTTTGTTCTGACCAATGTAGCTGTCACACCAATTAGTGGAGGGAGGTACTGGAGGGTGGAGAACCGGCATAGAGTTGATAGGTTGTGTAGCGAGTTTCACTAAGGTATGAGTTTGGTGTCCTCCTGGCTAATTTGGCATTTTAAGTTTCCATCATTTTCTCACAAAGAAATTTAGAAAGAACTGTAGTTGTACTGAATATTGATACCTGGGTACAAAAGGGTTATGAATATGATTTTAATTTTTATGGACCATATAGATGACGTCATCACATATTATTGCCCCAAATGTAATTATTTTTAAAGTTATAATCTAGCACTTTGGTACAAGTAACTGAAATAAAAATATGATTTTCATGTGCATAATGGTCAAAGCTACAAACATGCGTTTGCACAAATTGATATCTACTAATTACCCGTAGTTATTAGAGAATAAGTAGATTTTAATTAGGCAATTATTAGGTTATTCTCTGACAACTACAGATAATTAAGTAGATATCAATTTGTGCAAACGTACGTTTGTAGCTTTGACCATTATGCACATGAAAATCATATGTTCATTTCAGTTACTTGTACCAAAGTGCTATATTATAACTTTAAAGATAATTACATTAGGGGCAATAAAATGTTATGACGTCGTCCATATGGTCCAAAAAATTATCTTCATAACCCTTTTGTAGCCAGGTATCAATATTCAGTACAACTACAGTTCTTTCTAAATTTCTTTGTGAGAAAATGATGGAAACTTAAAATGCCAAATTAGCCAGGGAGGATACCTTAAATAGATAAGTAAAGCAAGCCTGTTTTTGGCCAAAAGTTGTTTGAAAAAGTTGTGTCATCAACAGAATACTGAATAAACTGAATACATTGATTACTGTGTACATTGCATGTTTACTCAAGACACCCTCTGACCTTGAAAAATGCTGACCTTGTCATGATAAATTACATTGTCAACCATTATGAAACTCATTATAACATTTGCCCTTGTCATGACAAATGCATTGTTTACATTGTCAACCTTTATTATGTATCTCGTTATAACATTTGCCATGTACATTTATTGTGCAAGTGTAAAGTTTAGCTGTTGATGCATTGTAACACGTCGTGAATTGTGACATTTTCACACAAGTTTACCTTTGACCTTGACCATTGGATCTTGTTAATTAAGGCAGTTAACATTTGCTGACATTCTGTGACACTTTTTAATAATAGAAGACATCACAATGGTGAACATCATAAAAGTACATGTATATTAAGTACATGTATACTGCACAAAGAACCTCGTACATGTACAGTAATATGCTGGCGAAGCACCACTTGTGTAACCAAAAATGTTGATTTACTTACCCAAATTTAATCTTTTTTTTTTAAAGTAGAGATAAGATGAGTTTTCTTGTGTCAAAGAACACCAGGAGGTGCTATTATGTGTGCAATATGGGAAGACAGGGTTGTTCCTGTCAAGAGATACAGGTGTGTGAACTTTGGAGGATTTTTCCTCCTCCAGAGGTCAAAGGTCACGCTGCCACCTGAGTGATTTGTTCTGAAAAGCATACTTTGACCCTGTGTAAAAACACAATAAAAGGTTATGAAAGTTCAGGACTCTGTGGAGTGATTCTATGTAGTACATATTATCAGTACATGAGATAGAATAAGCTTTCCAGCTTTTACTTACCTTTTTATCATCCCTCAAAAAAGCTATTTTGTTAATTTTCACAGAAAATTGCGCGTCCGACTGGTTTTGCGGGCAGATTTTGGAAACTTCGAGGAGCCATATCTCGGCAACCGCTTAAGATATTTGCTTCATTTAAAAAGCCTTTTACTTCTCTAAATGAGCTCTATCAAAAACAGTAAAAATCATTATTGTATTGTCTTTTTCAAATTTTGGTTGGAATACCTAGT